ATTTGTACTTTAAACCATAGGTACTTTCAAAGGTTTTTTTTATTATTCTTCAATTATCATTCTAGCTACTTGGCATTGCTTATTAATTGTCATCCTACCATACTTTAAATATTGAATAGTCACAACTTTTTGTACACCTAGCTTTTAAGCACTTTAAGATTATGAAAATTTAATACTATCTATAGTCAATCATGCTTATTTTTTATTTCTAATTTAATTAGCACTCTTTTCTTCATTGCTACTAATATTAAAACACCAATTTTAATTAGTCAAGGACCTTTGTAATATATCTATTAAAGAAATAAGTCAAATATAGATTTATCTTTTATTTAAAAACTTGGTCATTTATCATCCAATAATGCTTTAATCTATCAAAATATTCCTATTTTATTCAAGCTAATTTTATACATATTTTTGATATACTAAAAATTTACTTAAAATTATTTAATATTATAATGTCTAAATTATCTCACTTAGCAAAAATTTCCTTTTTTAATTATTTATATCTTATAAATTGCCAATTATATCTTAATTGATGTTATTAAAAGATGTCTATATAATAATTCTTTTATTTTATCAAATATCATTTAGTGCACAAGTTAGCTTGGAGCCAAGTTGAATTTTTGCCTTAATGATTATAAGTCATGTCTATTGGTTAGTTGTCATATTTCATATCCACAAAAGATTATTTCTTTGCAAAGCAAAGAAATTAATTGTGCAACAATGCTCTTTTGGATCCTCTAATTTTGTAATTGAACTATCTTTAAGTAATGATTTTTAAAGAATTTTGACTATATTTAATTACTTAACTTCATCAAATTTTTAATTTTCTTATTTCTATTTAAATTAATTTTTAAAATTCTAATATTAAATTATTTTATAATTATAATATTATTAAAATAAATTCAATAATAAATAGATATTTATAAAATAGCCAAATTTATTTTTATTCTAATCAAATAAAAAATTTAATCTATAACACTTCATTCTACTTTCTTATATAATTCCTTGCTCCAACTAAGAGCCAACTTCATACTCTTACAAATTCTAATCTTTGTCGATTTTTTGTTTTTCTAGTTTTTTTAATATCTTGGATAACTATCAATTCTTCTTCTTTCAATCTTTAAATTTTTCAATCTTCAAATCATAGCTAAAACTATTATTCTATAAATTAATATACTATCCACCTAAATTACATCTTTCTTTGTATATAATTCAATCATAATTTTGCTTATTATTATTTAAAATATTATTATTTAATATAATTAATAAATAATATGATTAATATGCAACTATATTAAACCTAGCTATATCAATGTTATAGGTAGGTATTATCAACATATAATTAATTGGTTTTTTATTTCAAATTTTAGAATATTTAAATTTAAAGATTTTATGTGGTGTTAAAATGATTTATGTATTATAAATAAATACTAAAACTAATATCAATCAGAATAAATAAGAATATCAGATTTTTAATTAAATTTAAAAAATAATTTTAATAAATATTTTTGTGAGTGAAATTTTTATAAATATTATGAAAGTTATTAACATAACATTTTTTAAAAAAGAAAAAATCTATGTAAAGAGAATTCATTATTAATAATTTAAAGTAAAATTCTATAAAATAATGGCTATTATTTAAGAAAAAAACACACACACTTCCATATATATACATATATATATATATATATATATATATATATATATATATATATATATATATATATAGAGAGAGAGAGAGAGAGAGAGAGAGAGATAAAATTCTTTATATAGTCTTAAGAAAATTTTGATGTTTTATTATTTTGTAGTTTATAATTTTAATTTTAAATTTTTTATTCTCTATAAAATTTTAATTATCAGAAAAATATATTAATTCAATTTTTTACCTCATATAAAAAAAATTCAAGCTTTGAAAAATTAATTTGAGATCGATAATTGATTAAGAATTAACTTATAGTTAAAAATGTCATACAAATAAAAATACAATTATATAAATAAAAATACGAGAAATATTTATCTATATAGTTTTTAGTTTTTAATATTTATGTGTAATTTTTCATTATTTATAAAAGATTGGATTCATTTTTTGTATGTTTTAACTATTTATTTAAATTTTATAATTAAATATGTAGATATTTATTGTTAATTGTAAGATCATTCTTCTAAATTTAAATAAACACTTAAAAGAAAGTAGAATTTTTTTATATATTTGAGATTTAATATGTATTTAAGATTTAAAATATAATATAAATGGAGGAAAAAAAAAAAAAAAAAAAAAATACTATTGGTCCTTGTAATAGAAGCGTTGTGAAGAAGATCAACAAGAAGAATATTCTTGCATGTGTTAGCTTTGCTTGCAGTTGCAACCAATGCTTCCAATTCTATTTTTTATATTTATTTTCAATACTAATATCAAAAATTATTATAGAAAATAAAATTTTAAAAATATATATTAGAAGTATAAAAATACCATAACATATATAATAAAAATAAAAAATAATTAAAAAAATACATATTAGAAGTAAAAAAAATACCATAACATATATAAAAAAACATAAAAAAATAATAAACTAGTAAGTTAAGCCAAAACTTATAATTTTTTTCTTTAAATAAAAAGTATAACTTTGGATTAGAAAATCAACGTATTACAATATCTTTATTTTTTTAAAACCCTACAATAACACACAAAAAAATACACATACTATGTTCTATATTATATATATATATATATATATATATATGTTAAAATTTATATTCTTTAAAATTCTAAATTTCTTAGATATTTAAGGAACATATACTTACATTTTTGGATAAATATTAAAGCATGATTTTTATAAGTTTAAAATAATGTTGTGTATTTTACTGCTAAATAATCAAAATACCTTGGTATAATCTATTTGAAATAAAATTTTAGTAATTTTTATTTATATTGATACTTTATGATTAAATATATTTTTTGTAACATTTTTTAAAACAATACAATAAAACCTAGTTATAAGATTCATATAATAAATTAAGATTTTATTAAAGTTCAATAATAAGTATTTATTAGACAATTAAACAAATCTTAAGTGTTTTTATATTATGTATAATTTAAAACAGATAAAGAAAGTTATATTTTTCCATTTATTTCTTGCTCAAAATTTTGTATCTTGTCAATACAAGAATGCATAATTGTTATTTATCTGATATTTTGTGATAACTTACTTAGGTTTCAAAATTTGTTAACCAACTATAATTTATGAATATCTTACATCCTAAATATAATAAACTTGAATATCAAATATTTATAGAAGATGTTAACAAAATAAGGTGATTTTAAATTTAAATAATAATAATTAATGAAAGAATAATTATACTATGGAAAATAGTTAGTCACAAATCCATCTATATACAAAGTGAATGTCAATAGCAAATTCTTTCCAATAAAATCATAGGTTTTCATATTATGTACACACATTTTAATTTCATCAAATCTCTTTTAAAATCAAATCAATTTATCTATCAGTTGGTGATTTTTTAATGGACTATGAAAAGATGATATACACATAATCTCATAAGTTAGCTGTCAACACATTCATGTACAATGATTGGTTTTCAAAGAAAAATACTACCAATTCTTTGACTTTTTATGATGAGATGTAAGTTTTCATACCTATACAACTGTCTATTAAATACTCTTAAAAAAATGTAAAAATAAAAATACTTATTTTAAAATACTATATATATATATATATATATATATAATATTCAGTATATGTTATGTTGAAGTTAGGACTATTGGGGTTAGAATCATAAAATATTCAAGATTCCTTTTTGGCTTCAATTCTTGTAAACTGTATTTTACTGGACATAGTTCTTGCAAACATCAAGGATATTCACAATTTTCGAAAAGACAATAATTAGTACATAAGAGCCAATGATAACTCAGTTGTGGAATTCATAAATTTCAAATTTACTTTCAACCCCAATGGACACAATGGGTGGCAACTAGTGCTGAGATGTGAGCCACAGAGTTCCCACGCGGGAGCATCAATTGTGCCCCGAAACAGACGATCCCTACAAGAATTAGGGCACTGATTGAGGTGCCCCATTTGAGGTAAAACGAGCCAACAGAATTAGGCTGAACCCATGATTTTGGTCGCCCAGGCATCGAATCCTGTCCCCTGCATCAAGAGCTTCCAGACTAGACTGGGAGGGAGGGATGTTCCACTTTTCGTATTCACACACGATAATCGGAGCCCTTGTATTTTCGAATGACCTCGTGTGAACAGGGACCAGCTTGGCCTTTGCTTCGGACCCCCTTCAACTGTGGGCTCCTTTCCCCTTCAATCAAGAGCTCCTTTGTCAGTGAAGCTTCAGAAGTCCCCCCCGTGGGAGTTGACCATGTGGAGACTCAGACCGCCAGTGCTCTTTTCGACCTGCACTTCATTGATGACATGGCACGATAAGGTGGGCTGCAGACGTGTCAGGAAGGGAATGCGATGGCAGATTTCCACTGTATGAACGCGGTTGTAGCGCTTCATTTAGTGAATGGTATCAGGGTCTCATGATTCTATTCTGGATGCTTCTGTTTGTATTTTAATGCGTATATGGGGGTTCTAGATAGGGAGACAGAGTTCAGGTAGAAAATTCGCAGATGAGGAATCTCAATGTGAACCGAATATTAAACCATCAGTGCAGTAACCGTAGACTTAATCTACGGTAGCTCAAGTTTCGACTTCATAAGAATGTGTGAAATATATTTTTATATTCATGAACGTTGAGGAACGTGTGAGAACCAAGAGGGGCTGTGGAAGAGGAGCCTGGAAACGATGATAGAGGCACACCAGCTTGGCAACGCGGAAGCGGGAGAGAGATAGATGGGCATGCTGACGTGTACCGACCTATCATCCACGTCACAGGTACCTGAAATGGTACCTATGCGTTCGGAATGCCAAGAGAGGGAGGGAGGGAGGGGTCGAAAATTTGCGTAACATTATGAAAATGTGATAATACAGGCAGTGCCGGAATCGCCCTTGATGACAGAAATGAAAATTACGATAATGCGCGGGGGCTTGTGCTGCGCGGGGTGGTGGTGGTCGTCGTCGTTGATACTGATGCTGCCGCTGCTGATGCTTGTGCCGACGGGATCAGTTACGAACGAAATCCTGACAGCCATGCTGTTGCGCAGCTTCCTCGTTCTATGAGCAGATGCTTGTCGTCGTCGTCGTCGCCGTCATCTGATTGGGCTCGACGCTGCAATTGCCGGAAAGGTGGGCCTTGCCAAGGTGAAGGGAGGTGGGGAAGCGTAAGTGAGTTGTCTGTTTGAGACTAGCATCGTGTTCCTTGTGCCGGAGGGTGGGCCTTGGAGAGGGTCAGGAGCAAGCGACGGAAGTTTGCCAGAGAGCGTCTGCATTTGTTAAGCGTGTTTGTGTGTATGTGAGTGTATGTACTGGGCGTGGAAAGAAAGACAGCCACCGCGATTTGAGATTTGGGAGCTGATGGAAGTGCAGAGAAGGAGAGGGTCGCCGCCATAGCGAGTCTGTATTTGGTTCTGTTAAAAATATGTACACATTGTTTAAACTTTTCTTTTTCTGTTTATTGTTTATTGTATTTTTGTATAATTATTTTTACGAAGTTTTCATGTTTGCTGATATTATGTGCTGGCAATGTTTTGCGACTGTAGGTGTGACGGTCGGAGGAGGGATTGTTTGTAGTCTCAGCAAATTTAAGCGGGATTACACGGGAACTCACTTCATCGGTGGTTGAGGAGGTTCTCTGGAACTAGGGCTACGGCAGAAACAAGGCGCTGATTGAGTATCAGAATTGCAACTGTGCGTATGAGTTTTCAGTTACTGAAATAATAATGCGTCTGTCCTTGAAGTTCAGTCCGGGCTCTGGAGGAGGAGAGAGTTATCACTGTAAGATGAGGTTACTTGCTGTTGACGTTGCTGAATCCAAGCCATTTGTCGTGTATTGGATAGGTGCTCAGTTTATAGTGAGAGAAGCTATTTCAGACGTTCACTAAAGCCATCGCTTTTTCCTGAACTTCCCACCTGGTCAAGAGTTCTCTAGCTGAGCAGCTTTGTTTGTCCCAGACGTAGAAACCAGATAGGAGAGTGTGTTGTTTGTAAATATCTTTCCCTCGAAAGAAGTCTAGAAACCCTGGCTACAGTTTCAAAGAAGCATTGGTCAACCTTGCGTCGCGGAGTCCACACCGGTATGTATTCTGGAACGATCTCTGATCGTGGAGTTTCAAGTGTCGGTCGAGGATGCTCCAGCATGACTGATTTCGGGAGCGACAAGCATACGATCAATGATCCCTTCAAATGCCTTGTCGATCGCTTCAGCGTATGACCTACGAGCTAAACGACTAAGCGATTATGAAGCTTATTAACAAAGAGAAGCAGTGTTTATTTATGAAGGGCTTCCGGGAGTTTGTGTGGTAACGGAGTGTCCAAGTTGATTTGGAGTCTTGCAAGAAGTGCGATATACAGTTTCAGTCACAGTGACTGAATTCCATGCTTATTGCTAGTGGTTGTTTTCGTGTTAATTTGTGTGTTAGTTCAGTGCTGGAGACGATGACGACGGAGCTGTAGCTGGAGGAAAATAGATACGAACTTGGTGCGGGACATTGATGCTCAGCTGGAGGATTGAGGGGCAGAAGTTGTCAGTCAAGCTGTCAGGAAAAAGTGCCTCCTTAGTGGCATTGCTCACGGGGCAAAAGAGGAATCAACTTCGCTAAGAGATCCGTTTATTATTCGTGTAACTGAAGATCTCTTCAGAATCAAGTAAGTGAATTTGAACATGTACTTCTAAAGAGTGCTAGTAGAGAAAGGAAGGGAGCGTAGTAGCTTCGAGAAAGAATGGAGTATTACTGGGGCCAACTATCTGAGAGCGTTAACTCGCCCAGCTGATCATGATTGGGAGCCTGTACTGCGAGGACCGAGGCGATTGCTGATAAATTTGCAGTTCACTTTCTTGTAGTTCCACGTTACTGTCCGCTTGCGAGCGCTTCACCGTTCCAGTGCAACGTCGGAGGCACTTTCATGCTTCTGAATGCGACCCATACCAGCGGAGTTGAAAATTGAGCTTCTTAAAATTCTTGTTTTGAAACGTTTGCAGTGATCACTCACCTGCTGTTGTGAATGAAAATAAATGTGATGAAAAGCCAGTTCTTCCTGTATAGATCTTCGTAACAGTCAAATTACACCTTGATCATGAATCGGATAAATTGCGCTGTATGTTTGTCGTGATGGTGCATTTAATATAACAAAGTCGTAAACATTCTACTAGGATATGCCGTTATTTACAAAGGATACCTGTTATTCACTTTGCTCCTTCTCAAAATGGCATCACGTGACTCCTGGAATCGTGTTTTGATTCGGGGAGTTGCAATGGATTGAGCTTCATTTCGTGATAGAAATGCAGGATCCAACCGACGTTTCGCAACGCCCAGGGATCGAAGGCATGAGTAGCCCTCAAAGAGGAGGAATGGCTGGTGGATTTGCGCAAGGGTTGCACACACCCGCGCTAGTCCGCCACCAGCCACCTCCATCATCATTACCAGCTATTTCTCTGTCACAAGGTGCACAGGTTGGTGCACCAGGTATGAGCACATCGGTTTTCGAGACCGGCCCAGTAGGTCCTCATCCACGTTCAATAATTGCTGCACGGCCGCCGTCAAGCTCAGGGATAAACATGGGCATGATTGCAACTCCGATTGTTGGAGCTGGGGGTGAAACCCGGGGTGAGCAGCCTCCAAAGAGAAAGAGAGGAAGACCTCGTAAATTTGCAACAGGTGGTGAACTATCTTCTGGAGCTCTAGGATCTGTTTATCCTGTTCTTCCAGCATTAATGCCTGCCTCATCATCTCCATATACGCCTTCTCCTGAGAAACGAGGACGAGGGCGTCCACCAGGCTCTGGGAAGAAGCAACAACTGGCTGCTCTTGGTAAGATCTCCCGCACTTAGCGTAGTATGTCGTTTGGAATAGCGGGGTTGGATTGCATACCGTGAGTTGAACACCATTCTCTTTTTAATAATTTGGTTACCTTGACTTGTGACATGCTCCTGTCGTTGATGATACTCGAATTGTTATTGGTGCTTCAGGAGTTGTGCTAGCGGGCACAGGGCAAGGCTTTACGCCCCACATACTGACTGTGAGCACTGGGGAGGTACAAATTCTAGTTCCTTCTTTCCTTTTCGAATTCCTTATTCTTTACTACGTCGGGCATAGTGGGTCTTATATATTAAATTCAAGTATTCGTAATGTACTGACGTGATCGTGAATTAAATCGTAGGTTATTCAGAATTGTGTTCCTGCTGCAGGATGTGTCTACAAGAATCATGCAGTTTGCTCAGCATGGTCCACGTGCCATGTGTGTGTTGTCAGCCAATGGTGCCATTTCTAATGTCACATTGCGTCAGCAGTCATCTTCAGGAGGCACTGTGACATATGAGGTATGCTTTCACCTTCATGCTCTATTATCAGATGTGCTTCATTGCACAAGGAGAGATGCTGATGGCATAAACTTCTGCAGATTCTTCTACATTTTCTGTGTTTTCCTAATGGAATATGGGGGTGCCTGCAGGTAAATGTACCTTCAGATTACATAGAGGATTGTTACGACATGCTACAGCATTGGTTTAGTGCCTTCATCAATATGTGGTTTACATTTTACATTGTGAATACATGCACTGTTAATTATGTAATCATATGGTGAAATGGTCGTTCGGACATGCAGGGTCGTTATGAGATACTTTCTTTGACGGGTTCTTATTTGTCTACGGAACTTGGAGGTGGTGCACGGCAACGAACTGGGGGTTTGAGTGTTTCTTTAGCTGGAAGTGATGGGCGAGTTATTGGTGGAGGTGTTGCTGGAATGTTAACCGCAGCCTCTCCCATACAGGTACCTGACATGTTTCTACTCCTAAGAATTCTTCTTAACACCAGAATAAATTCTACCTGCTAATTGATAGTAGAGCCGATCCCATCAAGGTGCTTCTTATATCTCGATCGGGTGGTTTATGCATAACCTTTTCGTGATAAAATTATATCCATTCCATATAGAGAGATGATAGAAGATTCTCCTATTTCCTAGAGGAGCTCTAATAACCACTGATATCAGAGAATTAAAAAAATCCGTTGTTAAAGTGGAGTAATATTTACTAGTGGTTTTTATTTTATCTTTCTTCATCATTTTTAAAAAAATTCCTGTTTTCATGTAATATGTTAGCAGTTGCACAATTTAATTACATCTTATTTTTTTGTTGTGCCACAGGTGGTTGTTGCGAGTTTCCTCTCTGACACCTTTAAAGCCCAAGCGAAAGGTGAGTCGCCACTTGGTTCTACTCCAGGAGGTTCATCTGGAGCTGGATCTGCTCCAGGGTCTACTCCTGGATCAGCACTTGGAGGTCAACGTCCTCCAACGGCAAGATCAGAACCTAAAACTAGTTCTGGTATGCACTTATGGACTAGAGGTTGGCTTTCATGTGGCTGTGTATGTACTGGTTTCTGTTCAGTGCTGTATATACCTCAGCTCTTCACCCTTCTTTTGCAGAAATTATGCTGCTGATAGTTACAACGAGCATGGTTTTCGTGTTCTACTATGGGAGTGCATCTAGCTATAAATAATTGTTTGCCGACATGCATCTAAGTCTGATCTGACTACTGTATGGTTGCAGCACTTGGTCCTCGGCAGGTATCACCTGTCCCTCCCCCGACTGGCCAAGTATCTGTACAGAGGCCGCAAGTTATGAGCATGTTCCAACCCATGGCAGGCTGGCAGCCTGCTGTTCCAGGAGATGGTAGAAGGACTGATATAAACATCTCTTTGCCAGGAGGATGAAATTGAGTTCAAACAGAAAGACTTAATGTTTTTTTCTGTTTCGAACTGGACCCAATCGTTTCTACAAACTTTTTGGCCTTCCATTTTCTGAACTAGAAATGGGCTATTTGCAGTGCCGAGGCTTTTATAGTGAACCCAAATGATCTGATTTATCTATGATGTTGGCTGCTGCAAGCTGTCATCTGGACCATTACAGATCGCAGTTCCCACCGCTGCCATCATTGATTAATTGGTGGACGAAAGATATGTAAGATTATTGCTTCATCTTCTTCTTTTTCTTCTTTCTTTTTATTTTAATTTTAAAAAGATCTTCACAGAAGGCTATCTGTGAATACAACCTTTGAGTTTTCGGAAGCCAAATCAGGTGCGCGAAAGAGTTGAGTTAGTCCCCGAAAGCCAGCTGTAGTGGATTCTGTAATCAGCTGCAAACGCAATAGTCAGTTTGAATCCTTACCCATCAGCTGCAGGTTTACGAGTGTTTGAACATTTAATCGTGGAGTCAAATTTGATGCTTATTTTTAGAGCTGGCGTGGCGCCTATCTCGAGAATATAACAATGACGAGATGCTGTGTGCCGTGAAACTTTACATACCTAATGGAGGCATTTCACAGTTCCATGCAGGATCCTCTGTTTACATGCATCAAATGTTGTAACTGGATCCGAGTTTCTCCTTCGCTGCAAGTAGGAACCAGTCGATGTCGGATGTCTACTGATAAGTCCTTCATAACTAAGAGCCAACTTGGGCTATTTCCACTCTGTTGTGATTTACAAAAGTTCTGTGCGATGCAGCTTTTTTTTTTTTTTTTTTTTTTTTTTTCCAATTATTTTCAGAAACTCGTGGACGAGAAATCTGAATTATCTGGCATTGCACTGGATCCAAATTTTATCGATAAGGCAGTTAACTGCGAATCATTCATTGTCCAGAGTTCTTGTGTTGAATCTCTCTGTCATCCATAGATTTCTACTGAAGAATATGGACAAATGGCATCATAGTTTTTTCCTGTGGTATTTTAGTATTGCCCTTTCTTTCTTTGTGGATCATGAGTGTTTCATTGAAACACAGACGAGAGAGTTATATATGTTTCAAACTCATTTTTTGGAACTTGTCCTCTATCAGTTCTGTGATTAAGTGAAATTATCTTTCCTCAAGACAGTCTATTACTTGTATTGCATTTACAGGTGTTTTTCAACATTTCCCTTTCTGTAGTGTACCAGTATTCCCTTCAGTGTTTGGAACGAGTTCGGAGCCTGGAATCGTACTGAAATTTTGGATACAGTTGCCAAATCTAGTACCACAAGTCATTGACGTGAATACATTTCATGATGGACCGAGTTGAGTTGAAATTACGCACAGAACCAATGGGTCTCTGATGAAGACACCCGTATCCAGATACAGAGACATATACCCGAAGGGTTGGTATCCGGGTGAGATGTATTTGGGTGTCATTCATGTCTGTAGATTTACTTAACCTCTTTCACCTACAGTGCATGTCTGCAGGAGTATCCTCAGTTACGTCTACAGAGTTGGGCCTCACATCTTAAGTACTACAAGCACGCCGTCATTATCAATGCTAGTGAATGTATGTACCATTACTGACACATCCTAGATTGAGAAACAGTTAACGCACTTTTCAGCAATCTTCATCATCCAACCCTGCCTTTATAAGTACTCTTCTTACAGTGACCCCTTTTGGAGAGGACAGTGTAGCGATGGCAAAGCAGGGCTGACGTTCGAGGGAGTACCCGATTTTTCTTTTAGGCACTTGATAATTGCTTGACTAAATCGAAAAAAGAAAAAGCAGCGTACATTTTTTGGACTCAAGTTTATTGTAAATGGAGCATTGAGTGTACTCTCTAGTAGGCTTCTCCATAAATAAAGAGCTGTACATATGCATGGCGATGGCCATGGAGCCAAAAGGTTCTCATGAAGCAAGGTAGCAAGTTGGAAGAAGCACGTCCGCAGAGGAGAACACGCTCATACCATATTCAAGTTTGTGTTAAGCTTAGATTAGCCAAATGACAACAAAAACGCCAAACCCTGTAATCCATTTTGGTTGAAGAGAATATCTCGTCCAGTTCTGTCACCTCCTAAAGGTTCTGTAGCTCTCTTCATGTCTCTCGACCGATTCTGCTGCAATTCGCATCAGTCTGCTAATTACGGGAAGACTTGGAAGGGACTTAAACACGATTCAATGATCTCATGAGTTATTGTGCACGTATTGTATAATTGGGTGCTCGGAACCTACCGAAATGGAGGGAAGGAGTCGACATCCTAACATCCCCACCGTCCTTGTTCTCTCCTGTAGATGATGTCGTTGACAGCATTTTCTCTCTGATCGCAATTCACGTCCATTTGGTGTGCTCGCGGATGAACATCTTTCATGTTCTATTGCCATAATGATCTCGATGACTACTTTCCGTTGATCCGGTAGTCCTTCTCCCTCTGGTTGTTCTTGAATGACTAGATCCTCTAATGGGCCTACTCGTGGATGGAAGGAATCCTCACACTTGGTTTGAATGCCTTCGGTCCCTGAGCGACTGGTTAGGAGTAAGTCTAAATCCCATTGCCTCTATCTGAAAGACTACAGAAGCGTCTTAATGTTTTCTGCAATTACCCGCAACCAGGCCGTTAGCAACTCTTCTACAGTTTGTTAATTGCGGAACCGAGCTTCAGTATTCTTCACAGTGCTGCTTTCGGCAGAAGCTGTTGCGTCCCTAACAGTTCTGCTTTTCAGTACGCTTCCTTTAACCTCCCACCATCTCTTTTCAGGCAATTCTCGTTAATGTTTGCGGGTATGACGATAAAATACAACGTTCAGATGCTGGTTGGGTTTCAAAATCATTTAATAGCTCTAGTTCAGTGGTTGTAAACTTCAAACACGATACATACATACACGTGAGGAGCAATGAAGAACATTTTAAAAGGCTGTCATGCAGGATCAGATGTCTGGAACTGAGTGTGATCAGCTTACAAGTACACAAGGGCTCCAATTGTACCGCACCAATTCAATTACAGAAATTTGGATGAAACCTAAGATTTGGATGCCACTCTAGGCATATTTCGTTTCCCGCCGATCTGCAGCTTGGACACTGGTGTAAATGTAGAGGTGCTTAGCAGCAAGGCACATGCCAATATCAGATGCGAAATATTTACGAAGGTAATACACAATGTTAATGTCCTAAACGATATTGTTCGACATGCAAATCATGAGCGCACTAGTGCAGAAGCTTCGCATTTGGTAGCGGCTGGACACAATCAAAACCTGGAGTTGCTCGGTGGACGCGATCTAAAAGGAGGGTTATGAGCAGAAGACGGAGGCAAAGGCGTGAGGCTTTATCTCTCACAGGTGACAACTGATTTTCTGATCATCATGGAATCTGCAAAGACAGCAAACCGCAGGTCAATAATTGTATACCCGCACATTTTCAGGTTTAAACCAAAGACAGGAAAGCGTTTAAATATCATAATATACCGCGGCACTAGAAACTTCGAAGTACGACCTTCTTGTAATTCTAGAGCGGGGAGAGTCGATACATCAATACTCGATGGTCACTCCTGAGTACCTGTAGAATTCCAGCTAGTTGTACCTGAGCATGTCCAGACCAGGCGCACGCAGTATAACCAAAAAGTGGGGAAAGATCACGAACGACTATTTCAAATAATCACTATTCGAGAAAGCCAGTGTGTGGGAAGCAGATGCTTTATTGCTCTAAAATGCATCAAAAGCATCTTCTTCATCTTCACCATCTGATTGAGCCTCCGCAGCAGATTCTGTTAGTTTTTCCTCATACCCGCATGACAAGCTGAACGATTCAAGAGCTTCTAAAAATGTAGCTGCACATGGTGCAATACCAACTTTTGCCATGCGTTCCGTCAGCATCTCTACGTCACTTGATCGCCTCTCTTTGGCATAGGCCCTGCAAGTTCATCACCATACACATTAAGCTCAAATCCGCAAGTACAACAGTGAGCGTTCCCTGACTGCAGATATTTAGTCTGAAAATTCCCAAGATGGAGCACTGCATATTCTAAATGATGTTCACAGTGAAGGGATGAATAAGAATTCACCTCAAGAGAATCAGGTACGATGACGTTCGCGGACGGGTTTGCCACCCCAAGGCGTCGTTCAAAAGCTCCTCTGCTTCTTCGAAGCAATTGTGCTTACAGTATGCTCTGAGCATTGCATTCAGTGTGGACTTCTGAGGCTGCATGCCAGCCTGCAGCATTTGATAAAAGCACTCGCTCATACTTGCAATCGCGCCGACCTCACCATATCCAGTCATAAGTATCTCATAACTTCGAAGATTCAGCTTGAAATTTGCGGCTTCCATCCTGCTGCATGACCATTCCATCTTTCCCACCTCACCTAACCGAGCATAACTGGCCATTAGGATGTTATAAGTTTTCGCGTCAGGTCTACTAGTTTGTTTATTCTTGGCAGCTGTCATGCTCTTAAACACCTGTATCGTCACAAGTTCAATAAAACTAAGATTTCAAGTTATTATTTACAATTCTAGGTTTGTAGTAGAGACACATGGGGGTGTCCAAAAATGACTGAAATATACGGTATTCCATTTCTGAGATTGAACACTCACTTGCTCCATCTTAACGAAGTCCCGCCCGTAGCCATAAGATTCAATGAGAGTGTTAGACGTCACGGTATCAGGCTTTATGTGTTTCAGGATTCTCATGGTAAACAACGTCTTTTCCATTTGCACCAAGTCTCCAGCCTTGCCATAAGCGCCAATGACCCCATTGTATGATATTAGATTAGGATGTATCTTCTCTACCTCCATTTCCTCGAAGAATCGCTCCACTTGGAGGATGTCACGTACTTGTGCACTCCCCCTCAGAAGAATGTTGTATGTCACCAAATCCGGTTTGCAACTGTCAATAAAAAATTAAAAAATTAAAAAACAAAAAAAACAAATTCCTTTAATTGTACGTTCAATTATCAATCGATGAATTGAGGTCTTGTGAAGGGAGAAAATAACAAAAAATTAACTGCAGGTCCCCAGAAAATACACATACTTGGCTTTTGTTTTCATTTCTTCGAAGAGCTGCAAAGCCTTTGCAAACCCTATCCTCTTGTCTTCAGCTTGAAGGTGAGCAGTTATAAGTGCATTATACAACGACGTGTCAGGTCGATGACCATTTCGTTTCACTTCCTTGAAGAACCACACAGCCATCCGTAGCTGCTTTGCCTTCCCCATGGTTACAATAAGCTTGGAATGGAATCCATTGTCTAGTCTGTACCATTTCTGTTCTTGCATCCACCTGAAAGTCTGCAATGAATTCAAAGTAAATCAAGCTTTTTCTCATAACACATTTACCAAGGCCTTTGTATAGTAATTCAGAATTCTTCTCAATCCAGCATGTTGATAAGACTAGACAAAGGGAAAGGTTTGAGAAAGGTAACTGCTGGCAACCACCTCAAGAATGAGCGTCCATTTGCTTTGTTTCCCAAGGGCTGCCAAAAGCGCAAACCAATCAGCTTGCCTCATATATGGCGCCTGGCGCTGAAGAGCCTACGAAAACGGCAAGGTAAAAACATGAACTGAGTATACGGGCTCCAATTCTGCACAACAACCATACAAAGAGCAGCAAACGGAAATCAAATAGTCCTTATTGCAGTCCTGCATAAATGCGAAATGAATTATTTAATGAAAAAAGAATTCACCTGGACGACAGAGACATGGCCAGCAGTCAGGGTTTTAACAATGGAGGTAATGGAAGGGCGGTGCACGGGAGGCGTGGCATTTGGAGTAGAGCGTTTAGCAGCGTGGATGACGAGAGAATAATGGCGAGGAAGCATTCTAGGAAGAGCGACAAAAAATTCTCGAGTGGGAAGAAGGCTCTGGGTGGGAATGAACAAGCTGGACGCCATCGCTGAGAATTTCAATTTCTCATTTGCACTAGAATACGAAAATTCATGAGGATGAGAACATGAGCTGGAAAAGAAAACCCAACATAACCACGAGAATGAAACTCGTGTGTATGCAATGTAAGTAAAATCAAATAGAGGTAGGTCAGGGGAGATATAGAGAAGTCAATTCCTCAATGCAACAACCTTATCAGTTATATCAATTCTTCTTAGGTTTGCACTACACATGGGACAACTAAATTCTCAACGTTCGAAATTTCCCAACCCCTCCTCCGTGCCTGAGCCTTTCAAGTAACTCGATAATTCTCCACACAAGAGAGTACTCTAAAACACTACACGTGTTCTCCTCTTTCAAAATAGAAGCGCTGAAAAATCCATCCAAATTTCGGACTAATAGAGGCAGTTGCCGCACGGCCGATCACTGCACGCTATGCGAATCTGCATTTGCTTCCGGGGATGCGCGGCGAGCGCCGATTAAACAATCGTTTCTCATCAATTGCTCCTAAAATGCGAGGCAGCATTGCACTGGTGTAGGAGATGGATGAAGCAAAAATCTAGCGAAATTTTGCACATGCTGCAGTTGCAAGAGAGACATGTGAAGCGAAAGCAAGATCCAGGCCTAAGCACACTACTCTGCCTCATTAGGGGAAGAGCTCACCTCTCTCCGACCGTATCTCAGGCAATTTGCAAATCAAACCACGTCTCCGCCGCTCCGTCGCATCTCGATCTCCGCAACATTAAAAGCAGTGCAGCATATCGAATCGTTTGAGAACTTGCTTGAAGCTGCAACTCCCATTACCGTATCAGATCACCTAATCTTCGGCATCAAGTTCCTCGAGAAGGCGCCTTCAAGATTCATGTGCGTTGTGTTGTGATTTGTGTGTGCCTCCGAAGCAATTGCCATCGTTGCAGAATCGTAGCAGTACTGCATCCACGTCATCTACAACACAATCGTGTGCGATAAATGAGTAGGGAATCGTAACTTTAATTAGTGGCCAGCTGAGGTGAGAGGAACACACAATAGAGTTCAAAAAGCAAGGAGAGCATTTACACTTCAAGTCTCACTGGACATTGGTTTGGTTTAATTATGGTGAGGGGGAAATCCAAGGGTGTCTTATCATGCATTTCACCCCATAGAGACTAAAGCTTTGCAAATTTGTTTGTAGGGATGTAGTTGATGAAAAGTAACAATCAATGGATACAAAAGATGGAATACACATACTTCAAATATTCCGTTGGAGCGGTTGAATACAAAAATAAAATTAAAAACTAAAACAAACAAACTAACAAATTATGTACAATACACTGATGCTAGAAAAAATTGTTATGATTTATTTATCTTCATTGAAAAAACAACTTATGTAACATTTGTTTCTATTTACATTTATGCATTAAACTCATTAAATCAATATTGGTATAATTATTATGTAAAATCCTTCTTAAAATCATATTCAATTTATGTTGTTCAAATAAGTATTTAAATAATTACATATATTTATAAATACAAGCATATATTCTAATAAATATGTTAGAAAGTAATGGATTATTTGATGACCCTAAATACTAGCTAAACTCTAATGATAAATGAATAATAAATAAACCATTTGGAATAAGTTATTAATGATATTTTATTTAAAATATCTAATTATATTCTTCTGTTGTAACAAAGTGTCCTATTGTGACACGATTATATAGTGAAAATATGACTAAAAATTATTTTTTAATTAATATTCTATTATATTAGTTCAACAAAAATTCAAAATATTTTAATAAAGCATTTATTAAAGTCTCTTAGCCTATTTTCTTATCTTAATAGCAAGTAGATAAAAGTTAGTTAGTATTTTTACCTCCTAGGATATAGAAACTTTTTTATTACCTTAGAAAGGCCAAAAATTATTAAAATCAGGGTAGAAGAAGTAAATGGTTGGTATGATTGATACTAGAGTTAAGTTGAGAGTAGGATTGGGCTAAAGGATAGATTAGATTGATACCCGAGGGTCGACCTTTTGTGAAACAGGGTCAAAATTAGACCTTTGGTCCCTAAAACGACCGCCTAGGGCAAATTATGGATTCATTTGGAGATCAAAGATTAGGATTTGAGAGCTAGCTTGAAGTTCTTTCCAAGAGCATAAGCGTTGTTTTTGTAGGATTTTTGAGAACTTGGCAATTGTTGTTCAAAGTCAAGGTTTATATTGGTGATTTGGGTTTTATATAATATAACTAGGGCTAGAAATTTAGGCTAGTTCATGCAATGGGTGTAACATCTATGGTTCAAAATTTGAAATTGTTTGGATTATTAGGTGTACTAAGTGTATACAAAATTTTGTAATAATCTAACGGTGTGGTTTAGAGATATTTGGTTTTTAGCACAAGAGGGTTTTGGAAGTTGGCAGTTTGGGATTGGGTAGAGTTTCTGTGATATCTAGAGATCTACTAGTCATATCAAGGTGAAATTTGGCATGGTGTTGAAGGGCTTAAAGATCAAGCTGCATATCAATTTTGAGTCAAAGTTAATAGTTGGAGAAGGAGAAATCACTACTGAGATTTTTTCTTTACTTTTCAAGTTGGCAGCCAAGTGACATCAATGCAATTTTTGGAGGTTTTTTCACAATTGGGCTGAAAATTCTTAAGCATATAGAAGACTTACATTGACAATTATATGCAAAATTTTACATTAAGTGGACACTTAGATTAGAATTTATAGCTGGTTAAAGCTCACTAATTAGGATTGGGGCTTATAAGAAAAATTTAAATTGCTTAAATATGAAAGTAACAAGGTAATTGAGGTTTATGTGTGATTGAGGCTACTAAGAAGAATGTTTTTTAGTACTTTTGAATTGGAATTTGAATTATATTCTTCTCATATAGGTGAAACCTATTAGGATTTTTTGGATGTTTGTGAAATACAACCTCACCTTCCACAACTAGGTGTCGAGTGCATTTCCAAGCAAGACAACACATAATATGACAATGGCTAATTGATAAAAAAGAGAAAAGAAAACATTACAATTTAAAAGATCTTATTTTAAAATACAATATCAAATTATCTTAGAAATATAAATAATAGTTAAAGAAGTAGTAAAATTAATAAATGCTAATGTTGCCTTTTTATAAAATAGGTTTCTACTTACTTTGTAGGAACATAAACAAGACAAAGCAAAATAGATAAGTAAAATTATTATCATAGACATCTTAAGGTAGAAGAAAACGATAGCTTTTAATAAAAATTATCAAAAGAAACTAAATGTTGACAATTAGAGAGGATTGGTTATAAACCTAGATCCAAATCAAACCTTGAGGTACAAATCAATTGTTGTATTATGTAAAAACTAACTTAGAATTGTACCTAGCATTTGATTGTGGAAGGATTAGAACTTACCTTGAAATTTGATTTACAATCCAAAATAATATACAAGAGGTTTAAAAACACCCTTTGGCATCTTTAAACAATCAAAGTAAGCTTACAATTATCTTAAGTACATTCTTTTAAATATAAAAAAATCCAAAATAAATCTTATTACATTCTAATAAATTATAAAATAATCTTTAAACAAACTTTAATACATATTGAGTAAATTCCAATCAAACTCTAATCAAATCCTAATAAAATTCTAATTAAACCTTCATCAAATCCTAAACAAATCTTAAACCTTAAATCCTAGTCAAACCACAAATCCAAGTCAAATCTTAGATCTTAACCAAACACAAACCAAAACCTAGTCAAATCCTAAATCCTATTTAAATCTTAATAAAATCCTATAGTAGATTGAAATCTCAATAAATAACAATTAAATTATTGATTTTATTTCAAAATATTCACATATCTTAATTACTTAATTGACAATAAGTGCAAAGAATTTGAAGAAGATCAAAGTTACTATATAGAAGATAAACCTCATAATCTGCTTGGATATTAGCTACCTTCTTTTTCCAATCTTGATGCCAATCTTCCAACACTAGTATCTTTTGATTTCACCATCCAATTTCTTTTGATCTTTGAAAAGTTATTGAAAATGAAGTTTTCTATTCTTGAAAAAAATTGTATTTTAATCCAATAAATAAATTGCTTCAGTTCTTAGAAACCTTCCCTAGTCTTCTAAACTCCAATTTTTGAAACTTTAATATACTTAAATTTTAATGATTTTTAAATCAATTATTCATTCAAGCTCAAACTTATGAAATATATCTAATACAACTATGATTACACAATTGCAAAATTTCACCCATAGATCAATTACCAATCTTATAAAATTTTCTAAAATATAAATCTTTTATAATTTTTAAAAATATCAATGTTGCTTTAAAAAAAACCTTAATTTTGCAAAGCCTTTACAAAATCATTACAAACTTAAATCACTCAAAAGTACCACCTAAAAAATCTTGTTCTAATTTTATTTTAAATTCCATTCTTTGATCAATAAAAAAATCTTTAGAATTATTGTAGATACACAATTTTGTGCCTCAGGGTGTAATTTTGTCTTTGGTTTACAACCAATCTTCTTTGAGAAAAAAAAACTTAGTTTCTTAAAATAATTTTTGCTACAAATTATTTTTAATTCCTTTCTAAAGGTTTTTATATTAATTATTTTTCTTATCTATTTTATTTTGCATCATTTATTGTTATAAATATCTAATAAGAAGATTCTTAAAATATTATAATAAGAGGTTTTTGTAGATTCTAAAAAGTTCTAGAAAGATTAAGGAGATTGTCTAAGAAGCTTTGTAGGATTGCTTTATCTTCAAGCAATATGGAAACTTTTCAAGAAGCTTCCTAAAGTTGTTTCATCTACAAGCAACATAAGAACTTTTTAGAAAGCTTCATAATAAATATAAATTGGATTTGAGGTTGAGGAGATCCTCAATATCCATGATAGTTTGTCAAGGCTACCTAATTATCAATACTAAAGCTTGATTCTTCTTGATAGAGTCTAGATTATCCTTCTTCTTAAAGACATCTAAGTGCTTTAAAGGTTGCATAGTGCCTTCTTCTAAACTGGTATTATTTATAAACTTCTTTTTATTCTTTTAGAATGGCTAGAGATAATGATATTGGTATGGTTGAGTCTCTTGAGTCCAAGTTAGATGTTATTATGAACATACTGCATGATTTATTTCTTAGAAGTAATAAAATTGAAGAATTTTTTTGCAAGATTTTGTGGTCATGCAAGACCTAAAGCAATTTAGCTTATAATGTAACCACTTTCTGAAGCTTCTATACTGAAGGAAGTTATAGCTCTAGTACCTCAATAAAAAGAATTCACCTATTCAACAATATAAAGAGCTTCAAATTAGTCTCCTAAAAATATTTAATGGTACACACTTGATGTTCCAAGGATTTGTTAATCAAATTTGATTGATAACTTTTCTACAACTTAAGAACTATCCAACAAAAAAATTACAAATTAATTTAGTTAGAACCTTGTTTACGAGGCAAGTCTTATTTTTGTTTGATCCTTTATTTGAGAAGAGATTTCCAATCTTAAGCAACTTTGAAGCTTTTATAAAAGCATTTGTGGAGGCATTTAGAGAATATGACAAGGTCCAATAGGCAACAACAAAGATTTGTTCATTACATCAAAAGTCACGCTCTCTATCGATTTATGCATCTGATTTTAGGCAATTGGCTTGTAACATCAATTGAAATGAACAAGCTCTTATGAGCAAATTCTATTGAGAACTAAAGAATGATATAAAAGACATATTACTATCATTGCTTGATTTTCAAATAGTGAATGAAGATATCAATGAAACTATAAAATATAATAATTAATTACTTTAATGTTACTAAAATCAATGTTCATAGACTTTGATAAAGCAACGTACTAAAAATTTGTATTTTGTTAATTCAACAAATATATTACTTCCATATTTCAAAATTAAAGATATGTAAATTGATGCGATACGGTTCAAACTTCTTATAGTAGAGGAGAAGAAGCATCGATTTGAATAAGATCTATG